GAGGAGGTTCTCCCGATCGAATGGTTCCGAGCCTGAGAGAGGTCCTAGCTAACTTGGCTTGCAAGCTACACCGTCTTGAAATACAGGTCCGGGCATGGTTGTCGTTATGGTCTTGTGGACACGTCGCGTCGTGATGTGCCGTGGTGCTATTGTGCCGGCCGTGGTGGCACTGTAGGCACGGGGGTGATGCGCTAGCCGTCCTACACGACGTGCTCTTCGTCGTGGTCTTCGTCTCCTGGTTTTCTAGAGCGTCATACAGGAGTTGGCAGCTGCCCCTAGGTCATCGATCGCCTCGTTGTCCTGAGGAGGAGGGGGCCACGATCCCGATCGTTGGGGTCATGGTTCCCGCCAGTCTAGATGGCCTCTATGTCAAAGCCCTCGTCGTGGATCCCATCCCGTAGTGGGTGGGATCATACCCACGTCTTGTCGGGCTGTATTCGGCCGGTGGTCATGGTACATGTCTCATGGTACTTGTCGTCACCACCCTGGGCGGTATTGGCCCCATTTGCTTCGCTGAAAAAACAAGCCGAAACACTGTTCCAACTGATTTGTTGTGAGAGAAAAACACGGTTTCCGCTGAAAAACAAGCTAAAAAAGATGGATTATAAGAGAAGCGAATAGGGCCATTATCTTGTCTGTGCGGCATGGCATATGAATGGCGTCTGACCGGACCGAGGTAACTCCTTGTGCGGTCAGTGCGGCGTGCTTGTTCTTGTCAGAGGAGGCACGCTTGGCTGCACTCGTCCTCTCTCCGTTCCTTCGAGGGGTCATAACGGGCAAGAACTCGTGCGTCTTTCTAGCGCCGTGCGGCTAAGGCATGAGGGAGGGGTCGTGGCTGACCCTGGACTTATCGCTTGGCCTGGTTTTCTTGGATCAGCTGGGCCTCGGTCGTTCGGGCTCTTGCTGGCTGATGTATCACGGGCCGTTCGGCCTGCTAACTAATCGATGCCTTAAGATACCCCGAGGTTATAACCTCAACACTTGGGCTATTAGCTTGTACTGTAGTCTAAACCAGCAAGCTGGGCGTTAATGTATTGAACGCCGACGTAGCTGCTCTTGGTGTCAAGTGATTGAACGTCGAGCTTCGGTCGGACTGACACGTTGGCGCTTACGTGGTAAGTTTAGCGTTAAATCGTAGAGCGCCGAGCCACATATCTCGGCGTAAAGTTACTGTACACCAAACTTTTAGTCTATTTTCAGAAAAAGGTTTTATGGAGGATCTATTTATAAAGTAAGTTTTCGAAAAAGACTAAAATGTAAAATTTGGCCTCGAAGCCAAGCCAAGCACCGCCACTGGCTTTTTACTGGATGGATGGCAGAGGAGAAAAGAAAAGCACTTGCGTCGACTCATTGGAAAAACACTGTGTGTGAATGTATTTTGGGACAGATGTGCTTCTCCCTCACCCTCTCCCATGCTTTTGATGTGACCACAGATGTGCTAAGCCCCTGAGGCTGAGGACCACTGTGTGTGAAATCTTTCTTGTATCATATTCATGATGCCATCCCACGGCTTCGCAATGGATCGGTGAGAAAATGGTGATCTCTGGATTTCACAATCAACTAGCTGAGTCAGAAATTGAACCGAAGTATGGCCGGTTTTCTTATTTGTGACTATGTATGGCACACATGAAACGTAGCACTTCTTTTCTTCGCTCAAAGTCACGTGCTTGAACAAGTTATCTTCCACAACTTATGAAAAAAAAAATCAAATGGTAGTACACTCTTATTTAATTCACAAGCACCCTAAAAACGATTCTTCGAACTTCTCTTTATTTACTATCCGCATGTCAATAAATGACACAATAGTTAAGGTGCAAAGTCACATTCTAGCTAAACTAGCTATATTCATTCCCCTTATTTAATTCTTGCTCCATGTGTTTGTTTTAGTTAACTTTACCTTTATCCTAAATCATGGTACAACAATTGTGACCAAGTATTTTTAGAAAACAAAACATACTCCCCTCATCCTAAAATAAATTAACTTCTAGAATTATCCAAAATTTAACCATATTATGTTTGACTGGTTTTGTAGAAAAGAAGACCATTTTTATGACACAAAAACGATATCATTAGATATATGATGAAATATGTTTTCATAATTTACTTATTTGGTATCATAGATGTTGGTACTTTCTTTATAAAGTTTGTCAAAATTCAATTAGTTTGACTTATGACAACTCTAAAAGTTAATTTATTTTGGGACAGAAAGAATTCACAAGTTTAAAGGACCCTTTGGAACAAAGAATTTACAAAACACAAGGATATGAAAAACATAAGAACGAAATGTCGTAACACTTTAAATCCTACAAGATTTTAGAAGAAAGGAAAGTTTAGGAAGATGCCCTTTGAAAAAATGTAGGAAAAACATAGGAAACAAAACGATGAGGTTAGAGCTCATGTTTAGTTTCCTCCAAAATTCTTTAAAGGAATTATAGGAATTCAAAGGAATTGTTAGGAAGCATTCTTGTTCCAAAGGGAATTATAGGAATTTTTCCTATAAGAATTGAATCCTCCATGATTTCTACGCTTTTTCTCCGTTCCAAAGAAGACCTAAATAAATGCACTATCAAGACATGTTTTATAGAGAGTTTGGTGTAATTCATTTTATTATAGACGTTATTGCACTATTTATAAACTTGATAAGTTAGAAAAGTTTGTCACAAAAGCGATAATTTGGAATCGACCGAGTATGCTTTTGCCGTGCTATGTCCCGCAATCATTCTTCCAACTTCTCTTTTATATACATCTACATTCATGCTAAACCTTTGTAGTTAGACTATTCCTGTCCCATGCCATTTCTAGCTTCCAAACAGTCCTTCAGTTCCTATTTCTTTAGGATTGTTTTTGCCATCCTCGTGCCAAAATGACCAAATTGATACGCCGTCACTTTGTACGTAGCTAGACCAGGTGCGCGTAACATTTTGCCGCCATACAGCCCAGGTCATGACTTTGGAACGTGAACCAGGTGGGGGCACCGGGACCTCCTCCGCCGGTGCTACAGAACATGAGCGGGGATGTTGACCTCTCCCCGCTTAGCACAGACGGAAATCGAAATACAGGTGGTGTTGCAGCTAGGGACCCGCCCCTTCGGCCCCATATGTCATTGGACTTTCCCTTAGAGGGTTAGGTCGTTGGCGCTTTTGGAGCAATTTGGCCCGGAACATTCGGAATCGTTGGCTCACACGTGTCGCGCGGGGTCCACCGTATGTCAGTGCTGGGATTTTCTGTGTCGGCTCATTGTGGACAATGGCTGGTGCCTGGTTGGTGAAGCGTGTGTACAGCTCTTACGATGAGAGGCCGGGAACCTGGAATTTTCCAAGCCATCAGCGAGTATGTACAAAGAAAACAACAAGGTGTTGTAGTCTGGTGCTTAGAATTTGATTAGGGCGGTGTCTCCGTTGCACAAGCGACAAGTGTTGAGGATACACACTGGCTTTCCCACTCTATCAGGATAGGTCAATGAGTAACTATTTTTTTTTGTGTGGTACTTCTATATTGTATGCACGTATGAATATGATACGGAGTGGTATGAACATACTCGGGTCTAAGGAAAAAAGATAATCAGGGTTCTAGACACAGAAAGGTGGGTACGTGGTTGTTGGGTGGATAATGGATATTTCGGTTTCCTAACCAATCCCCAACGCACCCCAAGCAAGCAACCTCCGGCACACATACGCACCGCTCCACAAGAAAACCACCCCCCATCTGCCGAGACTAACCTCCCCAGCTGCCCCCGTCCTTCCACGTCCTCACGTATGGCGTAATCCCTCAGGGGTATCTTGGTCGTTTAGCGCTGGCCAGGATTAATCGTGTGGCCCGGTGACTGGCAGTGTGGTCTACCAAAGTTCCGAAAGCGACTTTTGCGGAATCCAACGCCTGGTTTTACGAAATCGCAGGCGGCCTAGCGTGTCGAGATCGGATTCCCTGGCCCACTGTCTGTGAGCGGCGCGGCTTCGCTTGTGATTCCGTGCAAGGTACGTGAGCATCGGCTCGAAATGCGTCGAAACTGATGGGCGGTTCCCGCAATACCGGTGGTGGCGGCCACCGGCAGGCGTCGCGTTCGCGTCGGTGGTGAGGCGCCACGCCACCCGGAGCCAGAGCCCAGAGCCCCCAGGTCGTCCCGACGCCTCCTCGCTGCGGGAAGGAGCGCGACGGGCGTCATCGCGGGCGAAAGTTGCGTGACGCGATCACGCGACGGCACCTGGTCTCAGTCTCAGCTGGTAACCCGCGCTGCCCGTTTCCATTCCTTCACACTGCCCTGCCTGCCCATCACGGATTCACCCTGCCCTCTCCCCCCCCCCCCCCCTCGCATTAAAGGGGGTGTTTGGTGCTTCTCCTAAGTTTTAATCGTTGTCTCATTAGATATTTGAACACACGTATGAAGTATTAAATATAAATTAATTACGAAACTAATTACATAGTTTACGATTAATTTGCGAGACGAATCTTTTGAGCCTAATTAGTCCATGATTTGATAATGTTTTGCTATAGTAAACATATGGTAATGACGGATTAATTAGGCTTAAAAATTCATCTCGTAGAGTACTGACGGATTATATAATTTATTTTTTTTAGTATCTAAACATCTCATGTAACATTCTCTCAACACACTTTCTAAATTTTAGTAGCAGAATCAAACACTCCCTAAATCCAGCACCACCATAACGCCTCCCGATAAACACCAGCGCACCCACCACCAATTCCCCGCCCCCGGCTGCTGGCTGGCCCACGCCGTCAGCGGGAGTTCCGCCGAATCGGTGTCGGATCCCAAACGCCGGGCTCACTTTTATAAAACGTAACCGCAGCAGAGATGGGGGAGGGGCGGCGGTTTTATTAGTCGGAGAGGAGAAGCAAATTGAATTGAATGGCACCGGCTCCCTTTAGCTGGACCCGTAGCTGTTGTTGTAGCCGTAGCATTTGGAGGTAGCCATAGCTCCCTCCTCGGTAGATTCGTCTCGTCGCCTTCCTCCTCCTCCCTGCCCTGACCAGCCCCGCCCTGCATGGAGCCAGGCGCGCCGTGGCGCGATCCGCGCCAGGGGTACGCCTACGGGGTCGGATCGGCGATGCAGATGCCGCTGCAGCAGCGGGCCGACGCGGCCGCCGGTGGAGGAGTGCTGAAGAGGAGCCTCGGCGAGCTGGAGAGGTGGCAGCACCACCACCAGCAGCAGGTGCAGCACCACCAGCAGCAGCAGGTGGCGGCGCAGCAGGAGCTGTACCTGCGCGCCGTGAGGCAGCGCACGGCTGCGGCGGTCGATATCGCCGCCTTGCTGGCAGGGACCCCGGGGGCTCGGTCTCTGGTTCTCCCCGGGTCCAGCTTCGGAGGGGGCCTGGCGTCGCCTTCGTCGACGCTGTCGTCGCTCACCACCGCGTCCAGGGCGGCGGTGCCGCTGATGCAGCCGCAGCTGCAGCGGCAGGTGCCGCTCATGACGTCCTCACCGCAGACGCAGGCCTTCGGGCTGCCGAGGGCGCCGCCGCTGCCTCAGCCGGCGGTCTCGAGCGAGCTGTTGATTTTGCAGGAGCTCGAGAAGCAGCTGCTGGACGACGACGACGACGACGACGAGCCGGTGGCGGCGATGAGCGGCACCGGTTCCGCGGTCACCAACTCCGAGTGGGAGGAGACGATACAGCAGTTCAGCTCCATCGCGGCCGCGCCGTCGCCCGGGCTCCCTGCAGCGGCGACCCGAAACAACAATAACGTGGGGATGACGAGGTCACCTTCAAACTCTTCCTCCTCCACGGCGTCTTCATCCGCGTCCTTCTCGCCGCCGGCCCCGGGGGCGGCGGCGAGGCAGCTATTGTCTGAAGCCGCGGTCGCTGTCGCGGAGGGCCACCATGACGCGGCGGCCGCCCATCTGGCCGCCCTGAAGCGCGCGACCAACCAGCACGGCGACGCGGAACAGCGGCTGATTGCCATGATGGTGGACGCGCTGTCCTCCCGCATTGGCCGGGCCGCCTCCGCCCCGGCTCAACACCTCGCCGAGCTCTGCAGCGAGGACCAGCGCGCCGGGTCCCAACTCCTCCAGGACATCTCACCGTGCTTCCGCGTCGCCCTCCACGCCGCCAGCGTCGCCATCGTCGAAGCGGTGGGCGACCACTGCGCCATCCACGTCGTCGACTTCGACGTCAGCCTCTCCCAGCACGCTGCTCTCATCCAGTACCTCGCTGACCGACGCGTGCAGGGCAGGTCCCTGAAGGTCACCGCCGTCACCGACCCGAGCTCACCGTTCTCGCAGGCTCAAACTGCGTCGCTAACCACCATCGCGGAGCCGCTGAAGAAGCTCGCGGAGCGAGCTGGTGTGGAGTACCGCTTTAAAGTGGTCAGCTGCAGAGCAGCAGAGCTGGACGCGTCCAGGCTGTGCTGCGAGCCCGGGGAGGCGGTGGCAGTCAACCTCGCCTTCGCACTCTCCCACGTGCCCGACGAGAGCGTCTCTCCGGCCAACCCCCGCGACGAGCTGCTCCGCCGCGTGCGCGCGCTGGGCCCACAGGTGGTGACCCTCGTCGAGCAGGAACTGAACACCAACACGGCCCCGCTGGCGGCGCGCTTCACGGACGCGTGCGCGCACTACGGCGCCATCCTGGAGTCGCTGGACGCGACGCTAGGGCGGGAGACTGCGGAGAAGGCCAGGGCCGCGGAGGCGGCCCTGGCGAAGAAGGCGGCGAACGCGGTCGGCCGGGATGGCCCCGACCGGCTGGAGCGGTGCGAGGTCTTCGGCAAGTGGCGCGCCAGGTTCGGCATGGCGGGCTTCCGCCCGGTGTCGCTCGGCTCGGGCATTGCGGAACAGCTGGTCGGCGCCCGCGTCGGCCCGGTGCCACCCGGGTTCACAGTCAAGGCGGAGAACGGCGTGCTCCGGCTCTATTGGATGGGGCGCGTGGTGACCGTCGCCTCCGCGTGGCGCTAGACCACCACCACCGGGACGGCGGACGGCCGACCGCCCGCCCGGGCGCGCCATTATTGCCGTGACTAAATCGTCAGTTACATAATTCGTGCTATTGCTTTCCTCGTTCTCTTTTTTACCTTGAATTGGGTGAGGAGTGATGAGTTTGTCATTAATCTGGTAAAATCCTTCCTAGTTGTAGCGACTCATAATTCTTATAACTGCTCATAGTAGTATATGGAAAAGAGTAAGTTCTATCGCGATCTCCTGCTAATTTTGTGTGGCATGTTGCTAGAAGAAGATAACATTCTCTCTGATTCATTCACGGTGATCCTGCTGCTAGTAGGAGTATATGGAAAAGAGTAGCGGTGCTGCCTAACTAGTGGGCGCGAAATATGCAGCTGGGCCCCACCCCTTTCTTGTCGACTAATGTTTGTTTGCCACGTAGGCAGATGAGGGTTTCTTTGTGGCTTACAAGTGTAAGCTAGGTGAAGGTGAAATGCAGTCATGGTAAGGAAATTGCCACTTGGAAGGAGTAGTAGTTTGTGGTTTGGTGAGTTCTTTCTTTGCAGCCTGTGCCCAGCTCAGCTCAGCTCAGCTCAGCCCAACCCATGGAATTGATCAGTTAAATAAAATATTGGTTGCTTTTGGGATTAAACTAATCAAAGCTTGGGTAATTAGAGGATCACTACTAGTGAGGGGAGAGACAGAGGTGCACGAAACGAAATGCCAGTGCATTGCACTGCGACGAGGCGTAGCAGTACAGCCACCAACGTACGTGGTCTCGATTGTTGTCGCCGATGCTTGCTGTCAAGATGCCGGGGGTTGCGTTCGTGGGGACGGAAGCGGGGGCCCCGGGCGCTTGTGGTGGAAGAAAGCTACGGCTAAAGCGTACGTGGAATCCGAGTGTGCTCGAATTGGCTTCCGTCTCAAGAATTCCCCAATTCCAATCAAACTCCTCTTGGTGGAATGCGGATTGGGAGCAGTTCGTTCCCTTCTCAATAAGATTTGTTAGGCTGGAGTTACTCTCCCCCACGGCTTACATCAAATTTGACAAGCATTTGTTTTTTCCCTTTTGAAAGGAGATAGAACTCTGCTTTTAGGAAAGCGACAAGCATTTGGACTGCTATCGGACTTTAGCGAAGGTGTGAAATTTTGGTACGGACTTGGATTGGAAGCATAAGATGCGTCCTGCTGTTTAGTTCCCAAAATTTTGTAAAATTTTTTAAGATTTTTCGTCATATCGAATCTTTGGACACATGCATGAAGTATTAAATATAAATAAAAAATAAAACTAATTACACAGTTTAGACGAAATTCACGAGACGAATCTTTTAAGCCTAATTAGACTATGATTGGACACTAATTGTCAAATAACAACGAAAGTGCTACAGTACCATTTTCCAAAAAAAATTTGCCAACTAAACACAACCCTGGTCGATGCAATCCACAGTTGCAGACCCATATCAGACTATGTTCGTTTCTCTTATAATCTATACAACAAATCAGTCAGAATAATGTTTCGGCTTGTTTTTTTAGCGAAGCGAACGAAAGCGAGGAGAATGACTTCGAAAAGATCATTCGAACTAAAGTTACAAGTGATAATACTACTTTATTACTTGCCACCTGCTGAAATTGAAGTAGTGAAAGTCAATAAAGGCGTGGGACTCTGCCACCAATTAAATAAATTGTATTGATGTCTACTGTCCATCCGTCAAGAATGCAGCTATGGAATTTGTGACGGTCAAAATAGTTTAAGTTTATCAAGTTTATAGTAAATAGTATTAATATTTATGTCTCTAAATAAATTTATTATGAAAATATATCCTATAACGAATTCAATGATATTTATTTTATATCATGAATGTTAGTACTTTTTATATAAATTAGTCAAAGTTCAAACTGTTTGACTTTTCGAAAAGCGAGAATCACATTCTTTTGTGGACGGAGGGATAAAATGCAAGATTATGGGCCAAAAATCATAATCCGACCCGACACACTAGCAGATCAGGTTGGGTTGGTCAGATCAAGTGGAGCATGATCAGGTCTAAGCTCACTCTCAATAACTAAGATGGTGCTAAACCTTCACAATTCTACATACATACACATGGACTTAATTCAAACTGGGCTAGGTCAATGTTAAAGGAAGAATTTGAAGACAAAAAGGTATGTATGTGAGTGTTGTGTTGAGAACAATTGAGGAAGATAAAAGATACTCACTTTTGAGTAGTCCGCCGGGTATTTATCTATGAATTTTGTAATGCTTGTGTAACTTAACATTAGCCCCCATCATTACTGAAAAAATAATCTAAAATAACCCCTAAGTATGTATCTAAATCACCTATGTATGTCATTATAAAACTATCCCAAAGTACCCATATATGCTTCCATATTACCTTTTTGTAAATTTTAATATAAGTAAAACCAACTCAAGGCAACATGCATGATGTGTACCATGTAGACCACGTGTATATGATTGAAGGAAGCAATATTCACTTCCATGTCAAGCATATAGCGCAGGTTAAGTTTTCTACTAAATGCATGTTAAATACACATGTATATCACCATGTAGACCGCGTGTATATAAATGCATGAAGCGGTGAACATATTGATTTTTCATGTCAAATATATAGGCCGGGCTAAGATTTCAATTAAACACATAGTTATACATGGAGTTGTGATTCAAAGGGCGAAAAGGGTTCCGATTGGGGTGTTCTTATACTTCATGAAAAGCTTATCAAGTGTACTTTTCAATGGATCCGGATTCATGTCCATATCTGATCAGATTCATGCGCAATCATCACTTTAACGTCGAGAACTTTTCTGCCTACGGTGTTACGCCACTCGATTTTGGGTTGTTGGCCCATGTATCAAGTTGAGTCCATTAGACACGCGTCTTAGGGTTGAAGAACGACCTTACACTCCTTTGGTCGTCCTCTCATCTACTTATATGCATCTAGAGCCGCCAAGAACATATTGAGTTTGGTTCCTATGTAAGCTTAGCTCCCGCTATTTCCTTATAGACACGTGTGTTGGCTATACCAACTGTTCTACTAGAAGTCGGAAGCGAGGCGAGAACTTAGACATTTTCAAATTGAAATCAAGCGTTATGTTTTCTAAGCTAAACATTGTATTCAAGGTTTGTGGCTAGCGAAGTCGTCACACAAGTTCACACACGGGGATTCATCAGTGGCAAAAGAGAATGATTATTCTTTATATCATCCTCTCATTGTGAAGATATTTACTCATGCAATTGTACATACAGTTGGATCCTCTCAGGATTCGCGGTACCTCTCAGAAGTCGGTACCGTTTTCACGAATGCACGTTACGTCTTTTTTGTATCATATAAAGCTCTTCCATGATTCGTACTGATTAATTTGAAATTCGATGGGGGACGTACCGCGACCGCCACCTGTAAGGTTGTATACTTGTAGAATGCAATCATTCAGCACATCCGGTTGATGCTGTAATCATGAGCACGTCGCATTTGCGTTGCACCAACACATGCAGGCATGCTCAATGCCCATGGAGAGAACTGCATGCCATCGCTTTGCCCGATCCAGTGACCCATCTTTGCATTCCCCTCACCATAAAAAAAAAACGGCGCGAGTGTACTAGTAGTACATCCTCATGTTGGAGTGCACGATTCCGGGGTCGAAACCGCCGCAAGTGTTGTGGTTTTGTTGTGGCGCGCGAATTCAAGCCGATGCTGTAATGGCGGACAGACGGACAGGGCAAAGCTAGCGTCAGTACACATCTTGACTTGGCATCCTTCAGGTAGCTAGTTGTGGCTCCAACCGTCCCAGCTTTCGGTTGGGGCCTGTTTGATTTGCAAAAATTTTGGTGAAATGTTACGGTAGTATTTTCGTTGTTATTTGATAATTAGTGTCTAATTATAGTCTAATTAGGCTTAAAAGATTCGTCTCGTGGATTTTGTCTAAACTATATAATTAGTTTTATTTTTTATTTAAATTTAATACTTTATGCATGCGTCCAAAGATTCGATGTAACAGGAAATCTTAAATAAATTTACAAAATGAAGTGGACCTCTCATCCGCAAATGTCCTGCCTGGTGCCTGCCCCTGCTCGGCTGCTCCTGCTGTGTCCTTCCAGCAAACGTACAAGCACCCGTGTCAACTACTATACCACCACCCGTGTAGGGTCACATGCTTTGTGGTGTTGTGCTGCCTTAACACGACGACGTCCCGTCCCGACGCATTCTGAAGTACTATACTACTAGATTAGCCGCTTAGGAGCCGTTTGGAGTGGAGACAGGGCCAGTCTCACCAGCATTCTGTTGGCGAGAGCGAAGACTTGCGAAACAAAGAAAGAGAAACCAGGTCTCACCAGCATTCTGTTGGCGAGAGAAATCCACGAAGAATCTTGCGAAACAAAGAAAGAGAAAACAAAACTAAGCAGGCGCTCATTTATACCTAAACAGGCTAAGCAACCGGGAGGTACTACGACTCTGCGCGTCACCTCCGATCCTGTGACCCGCTACTGGTCCCTGACGAGATACGTGCGTGAGCCAGCCATTGATCTGGCCCGGCCGCCCGTGCCGCGCCCGTGCTCGATAGCCTTCACGAAAGCCACTGGGCACAAACAAACAACCGGGCTGCTTCGTTCCCCAACCCCAAGGGTTGACGCTTTGCCGCCAACTCGCCAAGCCAACAACTGCACCGAATCTCTCTCTCATGATCTCATCCGGTCATCCCCTTCACACAGAAAAGATGACCTTCTTTTCGTTCGCAGCCTGCGCAACTGAAGCGTAGCGATCGGCGTCGGCCCCCCGGGCGGCAGGCGCAGACTGTGGCTGTGTCTCTATGCTATTTTTGTGCAAACCACAATTAGCAGCACGAATCTAGAGGCAGTGGCGTGTAGCAGTTTAAGGGGGCCTTGAAGAGAACACGCATGCAGTATGATATCTTCAGGGCTTGCTTTGCTATTGCTAACGCGTTCCCTCCTAATGGCCACGTTCGTTTCTCTTAAAATCCATCTTTTTCAACTTATTTTTTCAGTTAAA